GTAATGACAGGGCCAGCGGCCTGTGGGTGGCAGGAGCGGAGGAAGCGGGCGGGATCGGCTATTTCTGGCCTTGGCTCGCCTACCCGCCAGCGGCCAGAGTTAGGCGGGCTTCCCAGTCCCATCTCTGCCCTCCCTCCCCGATCCCTAGGAGGGGGCGGGGAGAGACGCGGGTTGGTGGACCCGGGGGGCGGGTCCACCTTCGGCCTCCTCCCACCACAGTCCATTCGGGTCTCCACAGCGCTGGGCTCGGACCCGAGACCGCCGGCGCTGTTACCGCGCACGTGTGTCCCGCAGCACCCGGCTCCCGCCGCGCAGCCCGTCGGGCATGGACTCGGGCCGGGACTTCTTGACCCTGCACGGTGAGTGCCGGGCTGGCGCGCGGGGAGTCCCTGCGTGGGTCTACCCCGCAGAAAGCCGTTCCCTTCTCTGGGCGGAAGACCCCCAACTCCTTCATCCGCCGTCCGCCTCGCCCCGCCCCGGGCCCGCCCTTCGCCCTTTTGTCGCAAAGGGGAAATCTCAGCCCAGGACTAGGGGTGGGACTGCCCAGCACAACCCTCGTCATTTCCAGGCTTGTCCCCCAGATCGGACCGGGGGAGAGGGGAAGAGTGTGGGTCTGAAGACTTTCTTGAAGACTCCTTCCTGGTTCCCCCAGCTTAGGGGACTCCTCCTTATTCTGGTCACGGAAGACTGGGCTCCATTGTCCAGCGCGCACGGAGGGGCAAAGGAGGGAAGGAACCAACATCCACGAGTAACCGAGTTCTCCCCGCCCCGCCCCGCCTGGAGAGGCGCCCCAAAGCTCAAGCGTGCCTGGACCGCGTCGGGCCGCGTGGGTGTGGCGGGGTGGGGATTTGGGGTGGGACGAGGAGGTGTGCAAGATTGGCGGAGGTCGGGCAGTGCTGCCGTAACTGCTGCCCCGCGCAGAAATCGTAGTCAGCGATGCCCAGGCTGGGAGGAGCAGCCCTTTGCTCCCCATCTGCGCACCCTCCTGGCCGGACAGGGCCAAGTCTCAGCTCGAAATGCCTGCAGCTCCACCCTTGGTCCTGCGGAGCTCTTGTCTCCCCCGACCTGGGAACAGAGTCAGAGCCAGCTCCTTGCCCTAACGCTGTCCTTCCAGGATGAAGATCTGGCTGGATAGGACCCCCAACCTGGACCTGGCATCTTTTTGCTCCAGCCTGGGGACTCAACCACTCTTAGGGAACCTTTATCCTCTTGTCTCCCAGATCATCTGTCAGCTCAGCACACCCTGCCCCTTCCACACCAATCACTGCTAAACCATATCTCCCTCTATTTTCTACTACCCTTGGAGTCGGAGACTTTAGTGCCTACCACCTATCCTTCTAAAGTGTACATGGAGATAATAGTTGGTTAAGAGAAAGTCAGAGCCCTCCAGCTAGCCACTAGAAAGCCCTAGAATTCAGGGAGACCCAGAGATGTTCTTATCAGCCAGTCCGCAGTCTATCTTGTTTCACAGTTGGCCCAGAGAGACCTTGTTCAGTGCACAGAGCTGTTATCCTCATACCAGCAGCCCGGGCTCCTCAAAGCAACCTTGTCGAGCTGGGTCATGGGATCCTCGCTCCTTCCAATGCTCCCTCTTCTCTCCTGAGGCCAGAGGTGTCCTTAATGCTCCTGCCAACCTGACAGGAAGAGAGACTAGGCATCTCAGAGAACCACAGTGGAGACCTCTCCTTTCTCTCTCATCATCCCTAGCTAGTGCTGTCTACCCTGCACACTGCCACCTCTTCCATGCCTGCCTCACACTCAGACCTCCTAACAGCCCTCTGGTCACCTCTGGCATGGCTGCGGCCTCAGCTCATGTTGGAATGGACTCCATCCTCAGGGATCTGTCTTTGTTTAGTCTCTCTACCCTGGTATCTTCCTTAGAGAGGAAGCTGCATTGGAGGCTTGGCCAGAGCCTCCCAGTCCTGTGACACGGACTTGGCCACCTTGGCCCATCTTGTTTGAGACCTGCCTCCCAAATGCCTGACTCTGTCCAGCCCTTCCTGCAGGGCTGGCATGAATACTACGACTTCAAGCTGTTTTCCTGAAGTCCCTGCCACTTCTAGCTCATCATCCAAAATTACCTCCCTTGACTGCCTTTTGTCCCTCCTGCAAACTAGATGGGGTAGCAAGAACCTTTCAAGGAGAACTGGTGGGGGAGGGGGTGGTCACTGTGCCCTGTGCTGTACCAGGTTGTTTACACTTTCATCGGAGAGTAGGCACCCCTTTCATATTGGGCAGGAAGGCCCCCTCTATTGGCCTGAGGGGCTAGGGGCCCACCTAGATATGAAATGTCCCTTTTGTCCTTGTCCCCAGATGCATGCAGAGGCAGGATAGTATACAGGCATGGATTCTGGGCAAACTACTTGAAGTCAAGTCTTGGTTTTTTTCATCTTAGACAAATCTCTTGATTTTGTGTGCCTAGTTTCCTCATCTGTAAATGAGGGATAAGAATGCTACCTACCTCATAGGGTTGCTATGAGGATTGAATGAGGTAATACCTATAAGGCAATTAGAACAGTGCCTGGTACCCAGCAGGTGCTATGTTGCTGCAGGAGGCCCACGCCCTAAGTGACCATGCCCTGTGAGTTGCCGTCTAGTTCTTTGGGAGAGGAGGGGGCACCATAAGAGGGTCTGTAGCCAGGAAAGATATCAGAACTGGGCTCAAGATTCAAGGGGCTCCTTCCCAAGTCCTTGAAGCCCTCAAAATGATGTTCCTGCCCCCCAGCCTCTCATTTCCTCTGCTTTCTCCATTCTGGTCAGGCCATACTGGCTTCTTGAGCAGGTCCCCAGATGCCTTTGAAGGCCATTACTTCCCAGGGTCCTGTCCTCACTGAACACATCTACCCTCCACTAACTTTTTCTACACCTGATCCCTCCTGCTAGGCTCTAAGAACTGACATTTGTAAACGTGGAAGGCGGGTTCGGGCCTGACTTCATCTTGGCCCCCGGAGACCTGGGCTCCAGTTATACCTTTGTCTCTACTTATGTTGTGACTCTGGGCAAATCCCTTTGCCTCTCTGGGTCTGTTTTCTCACCCATGGGATCTCAATACCCATTTCACGGAAGATGTTGTGAAGATAAAGCACTGATGGGCATAGGAGCTACAGTTTGGCTAAAAAGCCAATACCCCCAAGAGTAATGTTTCCAGAACTATCGTAGCAAGTTGGGGTGGCCAGCCCCCTCCTCACCTCAATGATGTTTCAAAGCTCTGTTCCTGGGGTTACCGATCCACACTAAACAGTAACTTTTTTGTGCTATAGGCCACTTTGGCAGTTAGGTAAAGCCTGTGGACTCCTTCTCAGGATCGTGTTTTTAAATGCATAAAATAAAATACATAAGGATTCAAAAGAAGCAAGTTATATTGACATGTGATTCTTGGTCTTCCAGTTAAAAACCCTTGCATGGTTTCTCTAAAACAGAGGTTCTCCTTATCCTGGGCTCCCCTCCCGGTTTCCAAGTAAATAACGACTTGTCGGTGCCCATATTTCAGCTCATCTGCACTAACACACGTTCTTATGATTTATTCTTTGTGGTGTGACTTTAGGCAAGTCACTCTGCGCTTCGGAGTGCTTGTCTGTTTTAATAACTGGCTTTGCCAGTGACTCACTGTCAACGCTGGTGACTGGAGCTGAAGCGAGGTGAATGGAAGGACTATTATTCAGAGGCAGGGAGTAAAAGAGAGGAGTGAGTCAGGCCTGGAGTGGGTGGTGTCCTGACCTTGGCACACAGTAGGGGCTCAATAAATAATTGCTGGGCGAATGAAAGGAAAGTTGTAACTTACATGAAAGGTCCCACTGTTCCCCAGCACACTGGCAGCACAGTTTTGTATAAAGTTGCAGTCGTCCTCTCTATTTATCAAAGCAAGCCTGCGTTAATGGACTCATTTTAAGATGAGCATTTTTTTTCAAGAATTCCATTCGCAATCGGAACGTTGGCGATTACCCCACTCTTCGAGAAGGAAACGGGTCTGCCTGAGGTTCGCAAGTGAGGCAACAGCCAGCTAAGTCACAGTGAATTCGTTCAGTAACTTTGGTAAAATATTTGGCGAGCTCGGTAGTCTGGCACGCCGCTAGACCCTGCAGCCCAGGCCGCGGCCCTTCTGGGCGCCTCTCCTCAGCTCGGTCTTGCCCTGCGGTTGCATCCTCTGCCAGGCGCCCAGCTGGTGTTTAGAAGCGCGGCTCAGACTCTGCCCCCTGGCAGGACTCCGCCCCCGCACCGCCTCTAAAGTTGAGGTTCCGCCCCCTTCCGCCGAACGCAGCCTTTCCAGTGCAGGGCCTTCTCGGGGTTCGGCCCCTGGGCCCTGGCTGCGCTCCGGGTCGGCTCCTGGGTATGGCTCTACCTCCATGTCATCTCCCAGCCCCGGCTTCTCTCCCGCCTCTACCTTGCTTTGGCTCTGGCTCTACCCTCGATCCGCTTTCTGGGCTTTGGCTTTCGTCACTGATCTTCCTGGATTATGGATTTGTCCCACTCCATCTCCCGGTCCTGGCTCCTCCTCCGGGGCGCCCCGCCTGGATTCCGCTCTCCCCCCCACCTCCACGGGTATCGCCCTTCTGGGTCTGGCTCCGCCCCTTCCAGCCCAGATTTCCCTCGCCCGGCTTCTAGGGCCGAGACCCCGCCCCTCCAGGCTTGGTCTCCACGCCTGTTCCCCGCCTTGGAAGGCTTCTGGATGCTGCAGCATTGTCCCGAGCCAGGCTCGGCGGTTGGCAGGGGCACTGCGGAGCATTATGCTGTTCTTGGGGGGCCGGAGGCGGAGCCGCTCCAGAGAGCTCTACCTGCAGGAGCAGAGCCTCCGGGTGGCGGCGCTCAATGGGCGGAGGCTGGGTAAGGGACGCACGGGGCACCAAGATCTCCAGAGACTGGGATGTCAGCTGGGGCAGGACGCAGATTGAATGTTCCTGAGCTCTGGGTCCTGCCTTCCATTCTTTGACTGGACCTGTTTAGTGCTTCTGTGAGTGTATGACCTACTGTGGGACTGTGTTTGCAGGGGTGGTATGTGGGGTGAGTACTGGGGGAATTTGTTATCCCTTCTCCTGGTCTACCTCCGCCCTTCAAAGGCTCCCTGCCCCTTGCCACCCCTAACTCTCCTGTTTACAGGTTTAAAAGCTACCACTGGGTATGTGGCCCAGTGTGTAACTGGTATGACCCAATGAGATGATCTGCAGGGTAATGCGTGGTCCAGTGTGATCCTGTGCACTGTGGGTGACAGATGGGACAGTGAGTCACCCAGGTGACTGGATTCTGTCATGTGATCGTGTGTGTGTTATGTAGATTTTCTGATGTTACTCTCTGTGGCAATGTGCTTCTGAGTGGTGGCTGCATAAGGTAATGTTTCTGAGCACTTACCTGTGGGCGGGCTTCTGAGTCCTTACTCCACCATGGAACTTCCTTGAGCCTCAATTTCCTCATCTGTAAAATGGGAATAATGATAGTGCCCTCCTTATAGGGTTGTCGGAGAGATTAAATACATGTGCTAAGAACAGTATCTTACTCAAATACTAACTATTATTATGGTGGATGCGATTATCATTATTATGATGATGTTCTGGCACTGTACGTTGTGTGGCTGTGTGTGACTCCATGTAACAATGTGTATCACTCTGTGTGGCTCATTGTCTCTTCGAGGTTATGTGTGGCAGTGTGTGACTGAATGTGGTGGTGTGGTGAGCGTGACTTTCTCTCTCTACACCTGTGTATTGCTGTGGGTTCCAGGCCTAGTTGTCTCCATTATGCATCATGCTGGGTACATGGACCAGACTCCTGACACTTCCCATTCCCAGCCTCTTGTCAGCACCTGCAGCACCCTTCGCATTCTTTCCACGGGCCCCTCACCACCGCCCTTCCACCGGAAAGTGGGGCTGGGCGAGGGACTCTCATAGACTTTCTGGGTTGTGCAGCAGGCAGCCCAGAGGCCTCAGAAACAATAGGACCTCAAACGAGGCTTGGACATAGAGGTGCCTGCCCAGGTTTCCCAGTGGCCCAGAGGGCAGCGGTTATCAAGGCCCCCTTGGGACAGAGGTCCGTGTTCCGGAAGTCATGTCTGCAGCCAGCGGACTTATCTCTGCCTCACCGCAGATAGAGCCACAGACTGGCTCCAGGACAGGATGAACATGTCATCTCCTCATGGTATTTTCCAGAAGCGGAGGATGGGGCTCGCCTTCTACTTTCCAACCCCCTCCCCCATTCCCATCTGTGCTGTGGACAATGGCTTGCCCTAATGGGAGTGGGGTGTAGGCCAAGGGTAAGAAGTCCCTCTCAGTTGTACCTCTACCTCAGAAAGAACCATAGAATCCCCAGCAGAGGCTGAGGTGACTCTCCTCTGGCAGGCGGGAATCTTT